CCGGTTCCCGCCTTTGGCCGCGCTGAGGGGAGAGCGAGGCAGCCACGCCCAGTCAGTTCCAGCCGGTCCCCCGTGCCCCCACAGCCCCCGCCAGGGCATTGTGACGCGGGGGCTCCTCGCACCCAAAGGCCATTGTGACACGGGCCCCCCCGAGGCGGCCGAGGGGGTATTTAAGGGGCGAGAGGAGCCCAGGGGCGCCCACTCCCCGGAGAGCAGCTCCCTCAGGAGGCAGCATCTCCCCGGAGTACTCGTGGAAGGTCTGAGGCCAAGGACGCCAAGGGATGCCCACGGGTGAGGAGGCGAACGCCCGCTCCCAGCCCGCCGAGGGGCTGCCGAGCCTGCGGAACCGGCGCCAGGTGAGGGGCGGGGCGGGGCGGGGCGGGCGAGCCGGGGGGCACGGGAGTGGGGAGCAGCAGCCGGCTGTGGAGGGGAGCAGTGCCGGGGGGTGGGTGGCGGGGAGCCCGGCTGCAGGAGCTCTGCCCGCCAGGACGCGGGGGCGAGTGCCGCACGCACTCAGCAGCCCCTCTCCTCGGCTCCTCTTGCAGGTGTGCACCGTGAGGTGCGGGGAGTCTGTGCCACACACCAGGGTGTCGCGGGAGGAGGCAGCACGTCAGCCAGCGTTGCTGCACCTCCCCAAGATAGCAGCGGCACCCGGGCACCCCGCACCCGCAGCTCGGCCCGCAGGAGCTGCCGGCGCCTGCCCCAAGCTGCCGCCTCTGCCGGCATCACCCTCGGCCCCGTCTGCGGGGGACAGGGGCACCGCCAGCGGGACCGCAGCCGGCCGGGACCTCGTCCCAGATGCTCGGGGCAGCAGCACCAGAGAGGGGAGCCAGAGAGCTGCCCCCAACAGACGAGCACTCCGTGTCGCCCACGTGGTGGAGACGGCCCGCTGCATCGTGGATGAGGTCCTGAACAGGCTGTTCGGTGCATGCCAGGGACCCAGCCAGCAGCCGGTGGCCAAGGAGGAGGAGAAGGGGCTGGAAGACATCACCATCCACAGCATATGGGTGAACCCCGCTGTCGCAGAGCTCCTGCAGGATCCCCACGCTGGACCCCTGACAGCAGGAGGGACAGACGGGACCCCCACGCTGGAACCCCCACAGCCCCCCAGGGGGGTGGCAGGAGAGGCAGCCGCTGACCTGCAGAGCGCGTCTCCTGCCCCGGAGGGTCCCACCGAGGCCCAACCGACCCCTCCTGCCGTGGCTGGAGCTGCCAAGGGAGAAGAACACCGCCGCACGCCTCGTGCTCCAACCACACAGATGGACGAAGAGGCTGCATCTCCCGTCCGCAGGCAGCAGGACCCCGCAGCACAGGCAGCAGAGAGCCAGCCTGCCCCGCAGAGCCCCACAGCCCTCGAGGCGGCTCTGCAGGCCACGGTCAAGTGCCTGGTGAGCGAGGTACTGCAAAAAGTCTTGGCTGGCAATCAGCGACCCGGCCAGCAGCCAGTGGACCAGCAGGACCGGCCCCGCTGCAGCGACGCCGCGACCCAAGTGACAACTGCTGCGGCACCTGCGGACACGGAGCGTGCCCCGGCCGCAGAGCCCCGGGACGAGGCCAGCGCAGCCCCTCGCGTCCCAGCGGCGCGCGAGGCCCGAGCACACGGGGCTTCTCCTGCGCTCGAAGCCCATCGCCCAGGAGAGGCCGCCGCTGCCCTCGTCTCCCCGGCCACACGCGAGGGTGAAGCGGCGTCACCCTCGCCTCCAGACCCTGCGGCAGGTGCTGGCGCACCCCACCTCTCCCCGGCCGCACGCGAGGGTGAAGCGGTGTCTCCCTCGCCTCCAGACCCTGCGGCAGGTGCTGGCACACCCCACCTCGCCCCGGCCGCACGCGAGGGTGAAGCGGTGTCTCCCTCGCCTCCAGACCCTGCGGCAGGTGCTGGCGCACCCCACCTCTCCCCGGACCTCACGCGACGGTGAAGCGGCGTCTCCCTCGCCTCCAGACCCTGCGGCAGGTGCTGGCACACCCCACCTCTCCCCGGCCGCACGCGAGGGTGAAGCGGTGTCTCCCTCGCCTCCAGACCCTGCGGCAGGTGCTGGCGCACCCCACCTCTCCCCGGCCGCACGCGAGGGTGAAGCGGTGTCTCCCTCGCCTCCAGACCCTGCGGCAGGTGCTGGCGCACCCCACCTCTCCCCAGGCCGCACGCGAGGGTGAAGCGGTGTCTCCCTCGCCTCCAGACCCTGCGGCAGGTGCTGGCACACCCCACCTCTCCCCAGCCGCACGCGAGGGTGAAGCGGTGTCTCCCTCGCCTCCAGACCCTGCGGCAGGTGCTGGCGCACCCCGCCTCGCCCCGGCCTCCGCCACCGCAGGAGCCGCCGCCCTCCCGCACGCCCCGGCTGCCCCGCCACGGCCCTCCCTCTTCAGGCGGGCGTTGCGGGCTCTGCGCAGGGCGCTGCGCTGCTCCTGCTTGGCGGGGCAGCCGGAGGAGCAGGAGCGCCCGGCCGCCAGCGCCCCCTGAGCCCGCCGCTCGGCTGCGGGCGCTTTGCCAGCCCAATAAATAAAGGTGACCGTGTTCCTTCCGCCAGCGCTCGTCTGCGCCTGTTGCATCGTCCCCAGGCCCTGCCCGTGCCGCCGGCGCTCCCGCTCCCCAGCCCCCGGGGCCTGCGCCGGCCTCTCTCCATGGTGCCCGTGTGTTGGGCCAGGTTCTGTCCTCAGGGTGTCCCCGCAGCGGCTGGGGCGAGCCCAGAGCTGGCAGCGGTGGCCGGCCAGCGGCCTGCCGGGGTCCCCTCCACCTCCCTTCCCACCCACCTCTCTCCTCTTCTCATCAGCGACTTAGATCATTTCAGGTCTATTGTAAAACTCTGGTTTACCCAGCGCTTGCTCCACACTGCATCACCCTCTTGGTCTCCCCAGGAACGGGCTGGAAGAGCACCGCTGTGAGCCCCGTTTCCCTCTATTCTCAGGACCCTCCTGTGCTCTCCCGGCAGCGAGTCAGCACCGTACACTGCTGGGGATTCCCTCCCGTGGCGCTGTGTGATCGAGGCTTTCCTTCCAGTCCTGCCCTTACGGGCCTTCCTGCTGCCCTTGGGCTCCTTTTCCAGCCTTGTCACCCAGCCTCCAGAAGCAACCGTGTGCCTTGTGCCCCTCGCGCTGAAGCTGTGGCCGAGCAAGGCTTTCCTTGCAGGGATTAAACCGGGTTTTGCATCCCTGGAGCAGCAGCTGATTTCCATCAGGCCGGACTATTTGCAGGTACCAGGCGGGCAGTGCCCTGCGGGGCTCTCAGCGCTTGCCGGCTCCGCTGGGGGCCAGTCCCTCCTCCTCCTCGCCTTTGCTGTGCTCCAGCACCACCTCGCTTCCAGCGCTGCAACGAGCCGAGCTGCTGCGGCCGAGGCAGGGGCGGGGAACGACCGAGTTGCTCAGCCGCGGTCGTTCTCCTTGCTGGATGTCCGCCGCTGCCTCGGATATCCAGGCTTTGTTTTTCAGGTTTTCTGCTCTCGCCAGCCAGCGCCTTGGGCCCTTTTCTACTCACTTTTGCCTCCATCTTTGCTCCTCCTTTACCCTTCTGCTGTGATCTTCGCCCGCACACACAAACACCCCCCCCCCCCATGGCTGCAGGGGCAGCTCTGCCTGTGCGCAGACCCCCCTGCCCCTCGCTGCCGCAGCTGCTGTGCTCGTCCGTGTCCCCCCAACCCCCCGACACTGCTACCGCTGCCTGGGTGCAGCACCCCCCCCCCCCAAAGCAGCCCCCAGCCCCCCCTGCGGCTGGACAATGCCAGCACAGAATTACAGCTGCTTTACAAACCAGTCTTGTGCCTGGGCGTGTATTTTTCACGCCCCCAGCACCCCCCCACCCCACGTGTGTGCCCCCGGCCAGCGCGAGCCCTGTAAAACGAGCAGGAAAAATGGCCAGAAGGAGGATCCTGGAATTAGAATCCCATATTACAATTGTCTTTATTTTGTAAACGAGTAGAGAAATGGGATCAAGTTCCTCGTGCAGATTTATATTTTTCCGCGCGTAGTAAAATGGATGGGCCAGTCGGGACATTAACCCCAAGTCCCTCATGGAGGGAATCGCCTCCGGACACCGAGTAGCGGGGAGAAAGGAGCCAGATCCTTGGCCACGTGCGAGCACTGGCACTGCTGTGGGATGGGTACTGGAACCTGTGTTCCCCAGTACACAGTTCACAGCTCCCCCCAGTAAGAGACAGACGGGGGACCCCCAGGCTGGCGGTACAGGTGGACACGCTGGCCGCCCCGCTGGGGCTCTGGGAATGAAACACCCAACGACAATTCACCTCCAAAATGGCTTTGCGAGGCAGACGACTGCCGTTAGCTCTGCTGTGATGACACCTGCGTGTTGTCTGTGGGGATCCTGACCTTCGGGAAGATAGCTGTCCCACTCGCCTCCACAGGGGCCCCGGGCAGTTGGCGGCTCAGAGAGATCAAACTGCTCCAGTCGCAAAAGCCCGTGGGGAACTGCGTGCTGGCCTACCCGGAGGGCGGTGGGAGAGGCTGTTGCGGGGGCCGGGACCGAGCCCCGCAGAGCCCGGGGGCACGGGGGAGCCGCGGGCCGGGGCCGCGCTGAGGGGAGGGGGGGGCACGGCCGGTTCCCGCCGCTTCCCGCCGCTGCCGGCCATGGGCGGGGCCGCGCTGAGGGGAGCGCGGGGCTGCCTCGCGCCGGGCGCAGCCGGTTCCCGCCTTTGGCCGCGCTGAGGGGAGAGCGAGGCAGCCACGCCCAGTCAGTTCCAGCCGGTCCCCCGTGCCCCCACAGCCCCCGCCAGGGCATTGTGACGCGGGGGCTCCTCGCACCCAAAGGCCATTGTGACACGGGCCCCCCCGAGGCGGCCGAGGGGGTATTTAAGGGGCGAGAGGAGCCCAGGGGCGCCCACTCCCCGGAGAGCAGCTCCCTCAGGAGGCAGCATCTCCCCGGAGTACTCGTGGAAGGTCTGAGGCCAAGGACGCCAAGGGATGCCCACGGGTGAGGAGGCGAACGCCCGCTCCCAGCCCGCCGAGGGGCTGCCGAGCCTGCGGAACCGGCGCCAGGTGAGGGGCGGGGCGGGGCGGGGCGGGCGAGCCGGGGGGCACGGGAGTGGGGAGCAGCAGCCGGCTGTGGAGGGGAGCAGTGCCGGGGGGTGGGTGGCGGGGAGCCCGGCTGCAGGAGCTCTGCCCGCCAGGACGCGGGGGCGAGTGCCGCACGCACTCAGCAGCCCCTCTCCTCGGCTCCTCTTGCAGGTGTGCACCGTGAGGTGCGGGGAGTCTGTGCCACACACCAGGGTGTCGCGGGAGGAGGCAGCACGTCAGCCAGCGTTGCTGCACCTCCCCAAGATAGCAGCGGCACCCGGGCACCCCGCACCCGCAGCTCGGCCCGCAGGAGCTGCCGGCGCCTGCCCCAAGCTGCCACCTCTGCCGACAGCACCCTCGGCCCAGTCTGCGGGGGACAGGGGCACCGCCAGCGGCACCGCAGCCGGCCGGGACCTTGTCCCAGATGCTCGGGGCCAGCGCTGTGTGCCGGGCAGCATCAGCAGAGAGGAGAGCTGGAGGGCTGCCCCGCACAGGCGCCGCACGATCCGTAGCAAAGATGTGGAGGACGCAGCTCACGCTGTCGTCCAACAGGTCCTGGACACGGTGTTCGGTGCAAGGCAGCACGGAACACGTGTCTCAGGGAACGCGACGGCAGCTGGAGCCGCCAAGGTGCAGGTGTCTCAGGGCGGCCAGGTCCCCACGGCTCGCCCTGCGCCTGGGCCCTGCGCACGGCGGGGCAGCAGCGGTGCTGCCGGCCAGGCCCCTGCGCCTGCTCCCCCGGGCAGGGCCGCGGGGCCAGGGCAGCTCCAGCAGCAGCAGCAGGACCAGGAACAGCGTTTCTCCCGGACGTGCGCGCGACAGGCCCTTGTCAAGCCCCAGCAGGTGAGTGCCAAGGACTGCGCCGTGGCTCGGCGGGGCTCGGCCCGGCGCCTCGCGAGTGAGGGCTGGGCAAGGCCAAGGCTGCAGCTGCAGCTGCCAAGGCTGCACCTGGCCAACAGCACGGCCGGGGCACCGGCAGCAGGAACAAGGGGGGTGTGGGCAGGCATGGCCGCAGGAGCTCTGCCAGCGCCCCCCAGGGCACTGGGGCTCGTGCCACAGGCACCCAACAGCCCCTCTCCTCAGCTCCTCTTGCAGGTGTACACCGTGAGGTGCGGGGAGTCTGTGCCACACACCAGGGTGTCGCGGGAGGAGGCAGCACGTCAGCCAGCGTTGCTGCACCTCCCCAAGATAGCAGCGGCACCCGGGCACCCCGCACCCGCAGCTCGGCCCGCAGGAGCTGCCGGCGCCTGCCCCAAGCTGCCACCTCTGCCGACAGCACCCTCGGCCCCGTCTGCGGGGGACAGGGGCACCGCCAGCGGGACCGCAGCCGGCCGGGACCTCGTCCCAGATGCTCGGGGCAGCAGCACCAGAGAGGGGAGCCAGAGAGCTGCCCCCAACAGACGAGCACTCCGTGTCGCCCACGTGGTGGAGACGGCCCGCTGCATTGTGGATGAGGTCCTGAACAGGCTGTTCGGTGCGTGCCAGGGACCCAGCCAGCAGCCGGTGGCCAAGGAGGAGGAGAAGGGGCTGGAAGACATCACCATCCACAGCATATGGGTGAACCCCGCTGTCGCAGAGCTCCTGCAGGATCCCCACGCTGGACCCCTGGCAGCAGGAGGGACAGACGGGACCCCCACGCTGGAACCCCCACAGCCCCCCAGGGGGGTGGCAGGAGAGGCAGCCGCTGACCTGCAGAGCGCGTCTCCTGCCCCGGAGGGTCCCACCGAGGCCCAACCGACCCCTCCTGCCGTGGCTGGAGCTGCCAAGGGAGAAGAACACCGCCGCACGCCTCGTGCTCCAACCACACAGGAGGACGAAGAGGCTGCATCTCCCGTCCGCAGGCAGCAGGACCCCGCAGCACAGGCAGCAGAGAGCCAGCCTGCCCCGCAGAGCCCCACAGCCCTCGAGGCGGCTCTGCAGGCCACGGTCAAGTGCCTGGTGAGCGAGGTACTGCAAAAAGTCTTGGCTGGCAATCAGCGACCCGGCCAGCAGCCAGTGGACCAGCAGGACCGGCCCCGCTGCAGCGACGCCGCGACCCAAGTGACAACTGCTGCGGCACCTGCGGACAAGGAGCGTGCCCCGGCCGCAGAGCCCCGGGACGAGGCCAGTGCAGCCCCTCGCGTCCCAGCGGCGCGCGTGGCCCGAGCACACGGGGCTTCTCCTGCGCCCGAAGCCCATCGCCCAGGAGAGGCCGCCGCTGCCCTGGTCTCCCCGGCCGCACGCGAGGGTGAAGCGGCGTCTCCCTCGCCTCCAGACCCTGCGGCAGGTGCTGGCGCACCCCACCTCTCCCCGGCCGCACGCGAGGGTGAAGCGGCGTCTCCCTCGCCTCCAGACCCTGCGGCAGGTGCTGGCACACCCCACCTCTCCCCGGCCGCACGCGAGGGTGAAGCGGTGTCTCCCTCGCCTCCAGACCCTGCGGCAGGTGCTGGCACACCCCACCTCTCCCCAGCCGCACGCGAGGGTGAAGCGGTGTCTCCCTCGCCTCCAGACCCTGCGGCAGGTGCTGGCACACCCCACCTCGCCCCGGCCGCACGCGAGGGTGAAGCGGTGTCTCCCTCGCCTCCAGACCCTGCAGCAGGTGCTGGTGCACCCCGCCTCGCCCCGGCCTCCGCCACCGCAGGAGCCGCCGCCCTCCCGCACGCCCCGGCTGCCCCGCCACGGCCCTCCCTCTTCAGGCGGGCGTTGCGGGCTCTGCGCAGGGCGCTGCGCTGCTCCTGCTTGGCGGGGCAGCCGGAGGAGCAGGAGCGCCCGGCCGCCAGCGCCCCCTGAGCCCGCCGCTCGGCTGCGGGCGCTTTGCCAGCCCAATAAATAAAGGTGACCGTGTTCCTTCCGCCAGCGCTCGTCTGCGCCTGTTGCATCGTCCCCAGGCCCTGCCCGTGCCGCCGGCGCTCCCGCTCCCCAGCCCCCGGGGCCTGCGCCGGCCTCTCTCCATGGTGCCCGTGTGTTGGGCCAGGTTCTGTCCTCAGGGTGTCCCCGCAGCGGCTGGGGCGAGCCCAGAGCTGGCAGCGGTGGCCGGCCAGCGGCCTGCCGGGGTCCCCTCCACCTCCCTTCCCACCCACCTCTCTCCTCTTCTCATCAGCGACTTAGATCATTTCAGGTCTATTGTAAAACTCTGGTTTACCCAGCGCTTGCTCCACACTGCATCACCCTCTTGGTCTCCCCAGGAACGGGCTGGAAGAGCACCGCTGTGAGCCCCGTTTCCCTCTATTCTCAGGACCCTCCTGTGCTCTCCCGGCAGCGAGTCAGCACCGTACACTGCTGGGGATTCCCTCCCGTGGCGCTGTGTGATCGAGGCTTTCCTTCCAGTCCTGCCCTTACGGGCCTTCCTGCTGCCCTTGGGCTCCTTTTCCAGCCTTGTCACCCAGCCTCCAGAAGCAACCGTGTGCCTTGTGCCCCTCGCGCTGAAGCTGTGGCCGAGCAAGGCTTTCCTTGCAGGGATTAAACCGGGTTTTGCATCCCTGGAGCAGCAGCTGATTTCCATCAGGCCGGAGTATTTGCAGGTACCAGGCGGGCAGTGCCCTGCGGGGCTCTCAGCGCTTGCCGGCTCCGCTGGGGGCCAGTCCCTCCTCCTCCTCGCCTTTGCTGTGCTCCAGCACCACCTCGCTTCCAGCGCTGCAACGAGCCGAGCTGCTGCGGCCAAGGCAGGGGCGGGGAACGACCGAGTTGCTCAGCCGCGGTCGTTCTCCTTGCTGGATGTCCGCCGCTGCCTTGGATATCCAGGCTTTGTTTTTCAGGTTTTCTGCTCTCGCCAGCCAGCGCCTTGGGCCCTTTTCTACTCACTTTTGCCTCCATCTTTGCTCCTCCTTTACCCTTCTGCTGTGATCTTCGCCCGCACACACAAACACCCCCCCCCCCCCATGGCTGCAGGGGCAGCTCTGCCTGTGCGCAGACCCCCCTGCCCCTCGCTGCCGCAGCTGCTGTGCTCGTCCGTGTCCCCCCCACCCCCCGTCACTGCTACCGCTGCCTGGGTGCAGCACCCCCCCCCCCCAAAGCAGCCCCCAGCCCCCCCTGCGGCTGGACAATGCCAGCACAGAATTACAGCTGCTTTACAAACCAGTCTTGTGCCTGGGCGTGTATTTTTCACGCCCCCAGCACCCCCCCACCCCACGTGTGTGCCCCCGGCCAGCGCGAGCCCTGTAAAACGAGCAGGAAAAATGGCCAGAAGGAGGATCCTGGAATTAGAATCCCATATTACAATTGTCTTTATTTTGTAAACGAGTAGAGAAATGGGATCAAGTTCCTCGTGCAGATTTATATTTTTCCGCGCGTAGTAAAATGGATGGGCCAGTCGGGACATTAACCCCAAGTCCCTCATGGAGGGAATCGCCTCCGGACACCGAGTAGCGGGGAGAAAGGAGCCAGATCCTTGGCCACGTGCGAGCACTGGCACTGCTGTGGGATGGGTACTGGAACCTGTGTTCCCCAGTACACAGTTCACAGCTCCCCCCAGTAAGAGACAGACGGGGGACCCCCAGGCTGGCGGTACAGGTGGACACGCTGGCCGCCCCGCTGGGGCTCTGGGAATGAAACACCCAACGACAATTCACCTCCAAAATGGCTTTGCGAGGCAGACGACTGCCGTTAGCTCTGCTGTGATGACACCTGCGTGTTGTCTGTGGGGATCCTGACCTTCGGGAAGATAGCTGTCCCACTCGCCTCCACAGGGGCCCCGGGCAGTTGGCGGCTCAGAGAGATCAAACTGCTCCAGTCGCAAAAGCCCGTGGGGAACTGCGTGCTGGCCTACCCGGAGGGCGGTGGGAGAGGCTGTTGCGGGGGCCGGGACCGAGCCCCGCAGAGCCCGGGGGCACGGGGGAGCCGCGGGCCGGGGCCGCGCTGAGGGGAGGGGGGGGCACGGCCGGTTCCCGCCGCTTCCCGCCGCTGCCGGCCATGGGCGGGGCCGCGCTGAGGGGAGCGCGGGGCTGCCTCGCGCCGGGCGCAGCCGGTTCCCGCCTTTGGCCGCGCTGAGGGGAGAGCGAGGCAGCCACGCCCAGTCAGTTCCAGCCGGTCCCCCGTGCCCCCACAGCCCCCGCCAGGGCATTGTGACGCGGGGGCTCCTCGCACCCAAAGGCCATTGTGACACGGGCCCCCCCGGCGGACCCTGCCAGCGCTGGGGAGCCCCAGTGTTAGCAGTGGCAATCGCGAAAGAACTGATCTACACCCAGCAGATAAGCAGGCACTTCTTTATTCCAGCGCTGGGGAACACAGGGTGTAACTCCGCTAAAGACATGTTCACTGACAGGTACAATGCACAGCATATTTATACACTTTTTCAGCAGAGTCATGGTTACAGAGTCATGGTTACAGAGTTATTTTAACTCAAGATCCATCATCAGTACCCATTGTTTTGATTCAGGGTCCATAACGATTCCTGTAGTGATTAAGGCAAACACCATACTATTTATCTGTTCCAAAGGGCCTCAACATACCATATATTGTCATAGCTGCTATAACTCCATTTTAAATCAAGGTCGTATTTTAAACTAAAATTGAAATTATATTCTAGGATTCAAACTATATTATTAAGGTATTTGCAACATTTCCCCCCTTTGAAAGTATTGATAATCATACTCAATTCTTTCACATATTCAAATTGTAGTCTCATTGAATGCCAAATTGTCATATGATGGTGGGGCTCATTGTCTTGCTTCTGCCTGTATGATCATTCGATTAAACTCTATTTTCCGGGCCAGTTCTCATCTCAAACAATGATAAATTAAACCAAGCGCTATGAACAGCAATGTCAAAATTAGTAAATTTGGCTGCTGCCAAAGGAGGTACCAGGTATCATTTTTTATGGGATCACGTGGATTTGGGAGAATTTCAGAGTTTTTCTGGGCTACTGTTTCAGAGTGTGTGCATCAGTTTGCTGTGACTGGGAGGTATGATACAGAATGCATCATGAACAAGACAAAGCATTCTGGTGCTGCTCTTTAAAAATCCTTTGGGTGCTCTTCGGTTAAGATCAAACAGATTCCTGAGTAAAAGTTGTTACAGTAAGGAAGCAGTGTGAGGTTTGGGACCATGGGGCGTTTATTAAACTTCTTTGGAAGCACCTTCCTTCCAAACACCGAATGGATATTGGTACAGTTGATGGTAAAACGGTGTAACCCCTCACCTTTGAGAGTGTTCAGTGGCGATTCCTGCGGTTTCCGAGTTGAAAACCTTATCTTTTTGCTAGTCACACGTTTCTTATGTAACAAACCTTCTGCTGTTTTTTAAAAGTCTTTGAACTTCAGCTCAACAGGTATTTTCAGTGGTTTTCTAAAGATACTTTGGAATATTGCAGATTTAATAGAGGAAAAGTTTTCATAGAATTCTGTGCTAAGGTGCTTCCCCAGCCCTCTCTACGTTTTCTATGGAGCTGTTCAAAACTCTTCTGACTGATTTAAGTCAAGTAAATACTACACACTTGTATAGCAGCTGTAACTATGGCTGCATTGTTAACTGCGATGTCAGTGCTGGTGATGCCATGTTCCATGAAAGGGCCAGCTCGTGTTTGGCCTTGGATTGCCTGTGGCAGATGCCTTAGGAAGAAGACTGCAGCATGTATGTCACTGTGCAGGAATCCTCTGACACACTGAGGTGAGGCAATAGCTGAAAAATCCACAGGAGAGAGTCAGTTCTGTGCATTTCTAGGATTTGTGATGTCCCGTGACAAGGAGTTCCAAAGCTCAGAAATGCATTGCTTGTTATTTCAATAGCATCACAGTCAAGTCTGCTGTAGGGTGGTAGTGATTAGCTACTTCACTATATTTGTCAACCCTTCTGTTATTTCAGAAGTGAATTCCTTAAGTAGGATCTGCAAATACTTGAAAGGTTTATGCTTCAGCTGTTTTTAAACCACCTGACAGTGTGTGGGGGTATGAATTTGAAGGTTAATTAACTAGTTTTCAACTCTGTCTCAAAGGGATGAGGCTGGCTTTTTGTGGATCATTTTTCAGAGGCTTATGAGCGACAAGGGGAACACTTCCATTTGAGCTGAAAGTCCTCACTGCTTCAGTGATAGCATTCAGGAGCTGGCTATTTAATAGAGCTTCCCAGGGGGAAGCTAGAGGTAGATGGTAACTATTCCTTTACGTGGCTTCTTTCAAAAATTATTCTGATTCTGAGAGTACAGCATATCTCTGTGTTGCACAACACATGGACCTGAACGTTACTTTTACTGTACAAAATAGATACCTACCAGCCCAGAAGTCTCGTGTCAACCATTTGTACAGAAACCAAAAATTACCTTATGATGAGACTGCTTTCACTTTTTTAACACACTGACTCCTCTTAACTATAAAATACTACATTATATTACTAGAAGTCTGTTCAAGTTTATTTATGTCTTTTTGTAACTCTTGTGCACTAGGGCTACAGAAAACCAACTTGCTCCCTGAGGAATGGCACCGATATAAAGGGGATGCTTATCTCCAGTGAGCTCGATGTAACTAAATGCCACACTGTACAATGTTCCAGTAGTGTCAGCTGTTAAAAGAAATTGTATTTTGAAAGGGTTTAGTGAACAGAGGCCTCTTTAGCATCAGTTTGCCTCTATGCAAACCCAAGAGATTTCAACTAAGACCAGAGCTTTTTTGGTTTTTTTTTTTCACCCCTCTAGAAATGCAAAGGAAAGCTAATTTAGTTACATTTGCACAGTTCTGCTTTGCTTTCTTTTCCCTTCTTTTTGAGTAAAGCATGCTTGGATCAACTGGACTCAATAACTTCAATATTGATTAAAAATTATTAGCTGTTCTGTAGGTACCACTAACACTTGATAGCTTACATAACAGAGTGGGATAGTAGGAGCTACTTCCTAAAGAATACTGAGTAGTTTTTTTCATTATGAATTGTAATTTAGAAAACATTAATAAGGGAAATTTAGAAAGAAAGTGCTTTTTAATTGGACAACTTTTTAAAGGAAAAACTGTTTTCATGCAGCGTCCTAATTTTGTTGAAATACATGAAGTGGTTATCCTCACCTCATCTGTACGCTTATTTGTCATCTGGAGTTTACTGTTTGGGAGTAAGACCTTCAGCTAATCACTTAGAAGCATG